AAAAAAAAAAAAAAAAAAAAAAAAAATACTACTACTCAGTGGTTCCACCACCTGCCTCACATAGCATTTACATTGTATCTGGTATTGAAAGTACTCTAGAGATGACAACGTACTGTACTGGGGAGAATGTACATTGCACAGGCTGTATTTTATATAAAGGACTTGAGCTTCTACAGAGTTCTGTATCCCCCAAGGATAGACAACTGTTTTTTGTGCTCATTTATTTGGGCCAGAAACCAAATGACAGTGAAATTTAAAATCCTTCAACCCAAACCTCTGCCAAATTCATTCTTCCCACAGAGTTCTCCATCTCATTAAGTGGAACCATCCTTCTTTCACCCATACTCCACATCAGATTAGCAAGTACTTTGATGTGGAAAATAACTCCCAACTTGTTATGAGGAGTGAAGTCAGGAACCAAAGTAGATGAGTTTTAGTTGATATAATAGCTCCTGAATTTCCAAGAAGGGCCTTGAGTGGGTGGTCACAGAGGCTCTTTATCAAGACACATTTTACAGCAAAAATCACAATGCTGGTACAACACAGGTCAAACTACTATCAACCTATGCAGTTACAAGTATAGATGCTTAGTTAATATTGATCCAACAAGGAAGTGAAGCACATAGCAAGGGATATGGTGAGCATCATTTATCATTAACTTTAGCTTATAACTTCTAATCCTCGAAAGAACAAGGGCATTCCAGATGTTCTAGTCACCAACCTATGTGTATGATTTCTGTCTGGGCTTTCTGGACCAGTTGGTGCTAATTACAGTATACTGCAATCTCAAGCTGCTATTATTCATCTCTAGGAAGGCTTCCAGCCCTGGCTATTGCATATGGAACTTGAAGCTTGGTGCTCTTAAGATTTGCCTCCAACCTCAATCTTGATGTGCCTCAACTTATGCAATGACTCCCTTATGGGCCCGGTCCTTCTCTAACTGCTTATTAATTTCTTAGTTGTCTAATACTTTGACTTCAAATTGTATCTCAAATCAACTATTTTCCATGATCCTTGTAAAAGTTAAGATAGACCATCTTACTGTTTCAAGAGACTCCTTATTTGGGAAGAATTCTAGGTCTTAGAGGGCTATCTTGGGGCTACTTCATCTGGTCCCCACTGCCTCCTGCCATTCTTTTCTTGGTCCTTTTCTGCAGCCACACTGGCCTCCTGACTAGCAATTATGGCACCCAATCCCACTCACAATCAGCAACCAGTGTTTTTTGTTTTTCTAGTTTAAACACACAGCCTATCATTTTTTCAACGGCGTCCTATTTTTCTTAAAATACAATCCAAGAGGACTGAGCACCTGACAACTTCCCAGAGTCCATCTCACACACCGGGCTCTCCAGAGCCCCGAGAGCTTCCTCGAGAGGTTAATTATGAAAGGCCTTTTTGCATGTAGCCTTCCTTAGACCTCAGAGGGTGTGTTCTCTCATCCCAACCACTTTAAAACAATACTCTCTGGCTCCTCTTATCTTTATACTGTGCTTTATTTTCTTTCAGTCAGCGTGGCTTACGTATGCTTGCTTCTGTTTTGGCCTATACAAAAACGAACCACAGAAAGGAATTACTATTTTTTTTGTAAGTAAAGACGGCCCTTGCTGTGGACCAGGCCAGCCTGGAGCTTTAGGGCACAAGCTACCTCCGGCCTCAGACGCCGCCACCGCGTCCGGTTGGAAAGTATTTCTTCGGTTCGCTGCTCCATTTCAATACCAGCACACAAAAGGTACTTAATACACACTCTCAGGACGCCTATCGGATTCCGAAACTCGCCCGCCGCCTTACGTCCTTGTAAATCTGAGCATGCGCGGCGCGCGGAGCATCACGGATAGCTCCGTTCCGGACTACGACTCCCATGGGACTGCAGGGCGACCGCCAGCCGGCCGCCAATTCGCGCGGGAGCGAGAAGATGGCGGATGGGGCCGTAGGCAAGGACAAGTGCGGGGAGCCGCGGCTCGTGTCGTTGCCCCTGTCTCGTATCCGGGTCATCATGAAGAGTTCCCCCGAAGTATCCAGCATCAACCAAGAGGCGCTGGTGCTCACGGCCAAGGCCACGGTGAGGCGGCCCGCACGCCGGGAGAAGCGAAGTTGGGGTGGGCGTGGGCGCCCTTAACCGCCACACCGGGCTGCGCTGCACTGTTTAGACCTCTTCAGTCATAACGCCGTAGGCAATTCCGGCTGAGCTCGCGAGCGCCTCCTCGCCACTCCCGTCGTCCTCTTCGCTCTCTCATGCGCACGCCCATTCGCGCCGTTCCTACCGTACCCCGCGGTTTTCCCAGGCCCCGCCCAGCCTCCCCGCTCCGTCCTTCCTCTGCGCTTCCGCTCCGTCACGCCCATCAGCCTATCTCGCGGTGGGGCTCACGGAGTGCCGCGCTGGGAGGTGCGGGTCTCCCTGGCGTCGCAGTACTCGCAGTTGCAGAGATTTCCTTTTGTTCTTTCAAACTTCCTGCTAGCTTTGTAGTATGGGATCTCCCGAAACCTTCGCAACCTGAGGCTTTCTTCCCGCAGGTGTCAAACTGGCTTTGAATCCCGGGGCCCTGGAACCCTCCGTCCACCTAACCTTGCCCACAGCGAGTCGGAAGCCCACCCCCTAGCCACAATTTCACTGACTCCCAGGAGCTGATTTTTACAACTTTGCTTCCCCTCTCTTGTGACAAAATATTTCTGTTTTCTTTTTGTGTTTTTGTGTGGGGAGAGAGGTATCTGTCCCCAGAGCACCTGCAATTACCTCCGCTTCACCGCCCAGGCTTATTTTATCTTTTAAAATTTGGACTTGATAGTGGTAGGCCAGTGTTCTTAGACTTGGCCATGTTTAAACTGCACAGTTAACTGCTTTAGCTTTCTCTAGATTCTGTTTTACAGCTCGTACTACTAAGGAAATGCTGGGTTGTGGCTAAAGGAAATGGGGAATCACAGGAGTTTGGTTGTCTTATGCCAGAGCCATACTTTTTTAGCGTCTGGGAAAATAGAAGCCTTGTAAGCTTGGTCCTAGTATAAGTGTGTGTGTGAGGGGCTTATACTAAAATGCTGGTTGCTAAGTCCCTTATTGAGTAAATTGTATTTGTGTGTAATCTGATATCTGCTGGTATACTTCATCTCCACAGGGCAACTCTGTAGAGAATCTTGAGACATAGGTGTTTTCCTCTACAATTTCATTCTGTTCTTATTAAGGAACTAAGAGTTAATGCAAGCACTTTTCTCATCCTTTACTAAACTAAATATATTCAATTGAGGCTCAGTTTAGATTATTGCTTTAGGATAATCTGAGAATTTATAAGGGGGTGATAAAAATACGTGGTAGATGTTTTTAAAAATTGAATTCGAAGCCGGGTGTGGTGGCGCACGCTTATAATTCCAGCACTCGGGAGGCTGAGGCAGGAGGATCACTGTGAGTTCGAGACCAGCTTGGGCTACATAGTTCCAGGTCAGTCTCAATTTTTGGAGACCCTGTCTCCAAAAAAGAAAAAAAATTCCAAAACTACTTGAGAAATAGGGAAGAACAGTGTTCAAATTGAGAGGGAGTATTTTGAGATGGTTTAATGGCAATGTGTCCTTTACTGTAATACATTTAAAAAATTTTAAACATTAATATTTTTTTATCATACCGAGGAAGTCTATTCCAGTATGGAAAAAGCTTTTTGTGCGGGCAAAATGTAACATGTCAGTTTTCAGCTTCAGGTTGTCGGTTCTAGTGTAGTTGTAATAGATGAACCATTTTTAAACGAGGGATTCAAATAGAAGATTAAAAATGTATTTCTGAGCCAGATATAATTTTTTTTTTCAGTACTAGGATCAAAACCGAGGTTTCACTCAAGCTAGGCAAGCACTGTACCACTGAGCTAAATTCCTGGCACCCAGATAGAATTTTTGGTCTTTTTGCTCCTTTTACTGCAGAGGTTGGTCATTAAACACTTTTGATTCATTGTTTTTGGTCACCTGACAGTACTTTCCATGAGTTACACATATCTGTACTAGGCTCTGGAAAATGCCTGTCTCCTCTCCAACCTGGGAGACAGCTTTGCTCTCTTTCTGACCTCGTGTTTCTTTTTTCTCCTGTAAAGTGACTTTCTGTAATTTAACTTGAGGAACTTAATGTACAATTTTAATGTAATTTGAAAAATCAGATTTCTGGTGAGTTTCAGTGCACTCCTTTTATGTTATTTTTTCATTTTATTTTAGGAGCTCTTTGTTCAGTATCTAGCCACCTATTCCTACAGACATGGCAGTGGAAAAGAAAAGAAAGCACTGACTTACAGTGATTTAGCAAATACTGCAGAGGAATCAGAAACTTTTCAGTTTCTTGCAGGTACTTAATTTTTGAAACATTCTGGTTTAAAAATTCCTGGTAATTAGAGGTTTTTCTCCCTGGTTTTCCTTTCACTGAATTAGACACTTGACTTTTTCTTCAGGTGCCAGCTTTCCATGACATGGCACAGGGAGGTATTTCTAGTCTTTTGTGGATATGGCTATTATGTGGTCCACTTAGAACAGTACCAAAATCAATAGGATGCACAAGATGTTTGGTTGTCAGGGCCTAGCTATGGAAGGGAAGCCCTGTTGGATGGTCTACTTTAGCCCCCAAATAGAGAAATTAATACTTATTCTGTGGAACAGGCTAAAGAGCTCAGGTCTACCCCTGGAACCAACTCAAGAGAGGTTAAGCAGTGTTGCTCACGAAACCAGTGCATAAAAACACTTTGGGTTAGAGCCACGCATGGCGATATATGCCTGTAATCCCGGCACTGGAAAGGCTGAGGCAGGAGGATCATCTGAAGTTCAAGGTTGCCCTGGGGTAAATAGCAAGACCCTGTCTCAAAAATAAATAAATAAAATAAAATAAATGAATCAACCAACCAGCCAACCATGGTTTGCAGCCAGTGGAAAGGGAGCAGGTCTATAGCATTAGTTAAGATAATACCAGTTACCCTGTTTCACCCAGAAGTATAGCCTGGATTTCATCTTGTTTTGGAATCTGTTTTAGAGGTCAAAACATGAACTAGTACATTTTGAAATTTGTACTATATTCATAGTTTATCATAATGAATTGCTGATGTAAGCCTTATGATTTTAAGATATATTACCAAAGAAGATTTTAGCTAGTAAGTACCTGAAAATGCTTAAAGAGAAGAGAGAAGATGATGAGGCGAATGATGACGAAAGTGACAATGATGAAGCCGAGTCCTAAACCAAAAAGAAGTGCTTTAGAAATCAGCCTTCCAGGACATTTCTGAAGCACCATTCCTCTGAAGCAAGCAAGCACAGCACCGTGTACTTTGCTCCCTTCACATTCCCAGACTCCAGCACAATGCCTGCTTTTCCTGGCTGACACAGGCATCTCCCACATCTGCACTGTAAAGAACCGAAGGGAGAGTGACCCTGACAGTGCCCTCTGACAAGGCCCACCTGCAGCGAGAGGTCATCAGGAGAGAATCCTGTGCCCACAGCACTACAGCTAATCTGCTGGGCTCTGAGCTGGATGAGCAGAGACCACTGTGCTTCCCTTGCAGATAAGACTTTGAAGAGCTTCTGAATATTGTGCAAATTTATATGTATATTCTGAAATTATTTCTTGTAAACAACTAGATTTAGTTTTGGCTAAATATGTGGTTTATAAGTAGCATGTTACCTTTGAATTTTGGTATTTAAAGATTTGACAGCTTGTTTAAAATTCTTTTATTGTAAAGAAAAATGCTTTCCTTTTCACAGTAAATGCTTTATAGTTTTAGGGTCCTCTGTGGTTTTAATGCCTTGCTCACTGCCTGAGAATTTAGTGAAATTTAAAAACAGGCATTTCTGGGCGGGGGATTTAGCTCAGTGGTTCCACCACCTGCCTTGCAAGTGCAAGGTCCTGAGTTTGATCCTTGGTACCAAAAACCCCGCATAAAAACAGGCATTTCTGGGTGGGTGTATAGCTCAGTGGTACAGTGTGTCCTCAGCACACACATAAGGACTTGAGGTTGATCCAACAAAACAGCAACAACAGAAACTACTTTTATTTCCAGAGAAAAATTCCAAGTCAAATTATCAAATGGAATACAAGAAAGAAATATTACCAGCTGGGTACAGTGGTGCACACTGTAATCCCATTACTTTGGGAGACTCAGGCAAGAGAATTTCGAGTTTAAGTCCCATCTGGGCAATTTAGTGAGACTGCCTCAAAAATTTTAAAAAGTTTTAAAAGGCCAGGAATTTGGCTCAGTGGCACTGTGCCTGCTTTTTAAGCGCAAGGTCCTGAATCTGATTTCCGGGTCCAAAAAAATAAAATTAAAAAAAGTTAGGGTCGGGGATTTAGCTCAGTGGTTCCGCCACCTGCTTTGCAAGTACAAGGTCCTGAATTCGATCCCTGATACCAAAAAATAAAATAAAAAAGTTAAAAAGAGTCTGTGTATATTGCTCAGCATGTACCACAAAAACAAACAAAAAAATTACATAAACATTGCTTTTAAAAAGTTTTTTATGTTGAAGGTCTTTTTCACCTTCCTGTTCTTTGCTTTAAGCCCTAGTAGTTTGTTTTTACTGTCTGCAAGAGAAAACTCTTAAGCTTTATTATATATTTTTTCTGCATAGGGTAAATCTTTGATTCCATTTTTTCAATATATCTGTCTTTATTTTGACAAAGTTAAAATTTACAGCTAGACATGATGGCACATGATTGTAATCCCACCACTGGGGAGCCTGAGGCAGGAAGATTGTTATGAGTTTAAGGATAGCCCACACTACATAGTGAGACCCTGTCTCAAAAAACAAAAGTTAAAACAAAAACTTACAGTTTACATCCAGTAAAATCATACATTTTGGTCTCAAGCCTGAATTTTGACAAACGTATAGTTTTGTTGTTTAGCTACAGTCTTGCTTGGTTGCCCATCCTCAGTTGGCCTTAAACTTGTGATCTTCCTGTTTCTAGAGTAGCTGGGATTATAGGTGCCTGCTATCATTTCCAGAATGCTCCCTTGGGCAAACTGTAGTCAATCTGTTCCCCTAGCCACTGGCAACCACTGATGTTTTCTATATCTTGTTTAAAAATTTTTTTGAAAATTGCCTTTTTGATGTGTAGTTCTGAATTTGGACAAATGCAGTCAAAGAATGCACTTGTCAAAAATAGGTTTTTGAAAGAAAAGTTTATTCCAGTTAGCAGGGACTAGATATCAGATTCTAGAAGCTAGCTGGGAAAAGCCGAGTTTATCACATCCATGTGTGGACGGGCTGACATTGGGAGAGAGAGACAGTGTCAGGTAGCTGGGAAAGATTTCACCCCTGAGAGTTTGGGCTGACACCAGGAGAGAGATTAGCAACTCGCTGGGGAAGGAATTAGGCTTATGGAGGTATGGAAGGGGCTAAGGAATCGGGGGTGAAATGTTTATGACTTGGGTGCCCAAGGACTGTCTGCTCAGGTGTGTAGACAGTCTCTGGACTTCTTGGAGCTAGAGGGTGTTGTATACTTTGAATCCATTTGCCATGTTTACAAGGAAGCTGCTCGTTTGTTAAAAGCAGCCTGTTTGCTTTTGTCCCATTTGTTTGTGAAGGACTCACGTAAGTTAGGCCTGACACAGTTCTATCACCTACTAAAAAATTCTGTCCTGGTCAACTCTATCATTTATGCTGACAACCATAGCTGTTCTATCTTTTGTCTAGCAGACATCAACAAACTTTGTGAAAGGGGCCATAGAATTGTTTTGTACTGGGTTTCTTCTTGCGGGGGGTACTGGGGATTGAACTTGGGACCTTGTGCCTGAAAGGCAGGTGGTGGAACCAATGAGCTAAATGCCCAGCCCTTGTAATTTTTTATAGTCTCTGCCAACTACTCTGCCACTGTAGTAAGAAAAGCAGGCATAGGTAATATTTAAAGGAAGCTGGGTGTGGTGGTACATGTCTGTAATCTTAGTACTTGAGAGGCTGAGGCAGGATTGCAGCAAGGCCAGCGTGGGCTACATAAGTTCCTGAACTACATGACACCTTATCGAAAAAAACGGAATGGACATGGCTGTATTTTAGTTGAATTAGTAAAACTTTATTTCTGGACATAAATTTGAATTTTATCTAATTTTCATGTCACGAAATACTCTTTTTCAGTCACTTAAGGATGTAAATACTTCTTAGCTTATATGCTCTATAAAGCAGGACTGAATTTGGCCTATAAGTCCTAGCTTGTTGACCCATCATTTCTAGATGTCCTGTAAATGGAGTCACATAGTATCTCATGTGCATCTGGCATGTTCATATTTAGTACAGTGTGAGACATTTTTCCATGTAGCTGCAGGTATCAACTGTCACTTTATTGCTGAGTAGGATTCCATCATACAGATATACCGCTTATTCATTCTCCAGGAACGTAGATAGTGCCGTTTAGATTACTTCCAGTTTGGAGGTTTTGGGTAAACACAGGATTCCATTTCACTTGGCACAGACCCATGAATGGAAGCTGTACATGTTTACAAGCAGCTACCAATCTAGTTCCCAGAGTGGCTATGCTATTGTGCATTCCCACCAACAAGAAGTGTGTTCTGGTTGTGTTCTACATTCTCTGCAAAACTTAAGTGTCAGTTTTGAGTTTTACATCTTATTACAAACATGTGGTCGGAGAAATGATTTGCAAACATTTTCTCCCAGCGTGCAACTCATCTTGTTATGCTTTTTGTACCAGGGATGGAACTCAGGATCTCACACTTGCCAGGCAGGTGCTATGCCACTGAGTTACATCCCTGACCCTCTTGTTATGCTCTTAAAAAAAAATTGTTTAGTATAAGAAGATAGTTTATTTGGAAAAAGGATGGAAAAGAAAGAGGACAGACAGCTGCAATGGGGTGACAGGGGGAATCAGACCTGAACACCCCTTGTCATATTCTCAACTGCTTTATTCAAAGAGAATTTCTTAATTTTGGTAAGTCCTGTTGAGTTTTTTATTTATGATCAGATCAGACCATGCCTTTTGTGTCCTGGCTAAAAATGCATTGCTAGACTAGGTCACAAAGATTTCTTCTTGTGTCAGTCCCTTGACAGGATACTGTTTCTGTGTATGACCAGCTGAAGCACCCTTAACCCACTGCAGGCACTTCAGATCCAGTTGTTTAGACAGCAAGCACCTCTCCATGGTTCCTGCTTGACATGTGTTCGGTCATAGCAACTTCTCACTGGTTTCCTCACTACCTCTACTACAGCCTCTGTATTCCATCTTGCATGCTGCATAAGATTAGCAAAATGATTTCATGAAGATTAACATCCTTCTGCTCATGAGTGTTAAAAATAGCTGACATTGGGCCAGGGATTGAACTCAGTGGTGCTGCCACCTGCCTCGCAACAAGGACCCAAGTTCAATCCCTGGTACCCCCCAAAAAGGCTGACATTTGCTTAAGCCACTGAAGGCTGAGCCCATGTGTGCTGTGTATATTTTCATTGAATTCTCACACCTTACATATTAAATAATCAGGTTTTACCAAGAAGGGAATGGGAAGATCAGGCTCCAAGACACACCTAGAAAACGATGGAAATGGGCCTGAAATCTCTGACTACTCTTCACTGGACCATAGAGCTTGAAAAGTAGTGCTTACACTCTGCTGGGTAGATTCTCAGCTTGACATTCAAGGTCCTTGACTGACAGGCTGTTATTGCTTGTTTGTATGTCCCCCCAAAGCCTCATGTAGTCACAGGTGGGGCTTTTTCTGGAATTGATTCCTGGTGCAATGCTAGGCTCAAGGGCACTAGGATTAAGGGTGTGAGTGCTGCCCACCCTAAACAATCTGCCTAAGGTAGAAGGGGCAGAAAGACTATTGAGGGCTCCTCTATTGGTCCCTTGTTGCTTTTGCTACCATGTAGGTGCCTTGAACTGTTTCTACTCTACGATGTCCCTCTGCCTTGGAGCCAACCAACTATGGACTGAGACCTCTACAAACTGAGCTAAATAAAATAAACCTTTCCCCTTCAACCTTGGATGTCAGGTATTTTGTCTCAGCAGTGAGAAAAGTTAACTACAATAGTCTCCTTTATCCCACGGGAAACCTAAGCATCCATCATACATCCCCCAGTCAAGGAGCTGCTCTCTGGAATCCTTTATTAGTTTGTGTAGCACCATCATGCTTTGCTTTTTACCTTTAGGTTTCTCCAGTCAGATCATGCCTGCTTCTAGCTATTCAATAAAAGACAGGGAATAGGAAAATAAGGTCAGGCCATTAAAAAAAAAAAAAAAAAAAATTGTTACAGATCTTTGTGTGTATGTGTTATGTTGCGCTGGGAATTGAACCCAGGGCCTCATGCATGCTAGGCTGGGGATCAGACATAGGGGCACAATCGCTGAGCTGCTTCCCTGGGCCTTTTTTATTTTGAGACAGGGTTTTGCTAAATTGTGCTGGGGTCAAACAATCCTCTTGTCTTAGCCTCCCAAGTGCTAGGATTACAGCCATGTGCCAACACATAAATAAGAGTATTCTTCCTATTATGACTGGTGTATTACAAGACCAGTAGGCAAAAAAAGTACGTTTTAATTTTTGATACTAAGTATAAGATTCTAGATACATTAAGAAATAACATTTCAATTTTTTTTTTAAAGGACTATGGTACAACAAACAGACCAGAATGTTAACTACTCACTCATGTTGGTGATTACAGATTAAGTTAAATGACAAATTTCGCTTGCTTTTGGCAACAATATACATCCTAGGGATTTTTAGCTGCCCACACCTGCCAATACTGGGAATCAAACCAATGGGGACCCTACCACTAAGCTATATCCCCAGTCTTTGTTCTTTTTGAAATGACTTTGCTGAGCTACCCAGGCCACCTATAAATGTGTAGTCCTCTGGTGTCAGCATCCTAAATACCTGGGATTACAGATGTATGCAACCATAGCCAGCTGTTTTTTTGGCTTAATCCAATCTCTTTCACTTCCTAATACCACTTTTTTTCCCCCCTTTTTGGCACAGGGGTCGAACTCGAGAACTAGCACTAGGGAGGCAGGCTGTGGCACCACTGAGCTAAATCCCTGGCGCCACATGTTCTTTTAAGTATAGCAGAAGTCAGAAATAGCTCAGAGACGGAACCTTCAGGGATTTCAGAGCAGTGCAGATGTTCACAGGGCAAAGAGGCTAAGAACCAGGATGGGGCAGGCTTGGGTTCCCACACAACACAGGGCTGAAGGGTTTACTGGGGCAGGCTCAGTGGAGCAATTTTTCGATTCATTTGGCTGTGGGTGTTAGAACACTCAACTCACCCACATGCCACCTTGGTTCTTTCTTCTGTCCAGCTCATCCCTAAGCCCCAGGTCCTGAAGCAATGCCCACTCTACTGAATGCCTCCTTCGAGGCTGAAGAAGGCACTGGGCTTTATTTATCCCTGGAGGCACAGAAACTGACCTTGAAACCTGTACACATGACAGTGCCCAAATTGACCTGTGAGTAACTGGAGAGCTTTGGAAGAGGAAGCTGTAAATACGAGGAATTTTATTTTATTTTTTGCTGACATACTATGAGGCAAAACAAAATTGACACTATACAAAATAACTTTATAAAATATCATTCACATCATATTTTATCAGATTTACAGCATTCTGTGCATGTTAGGGGTTATGTAAGGAGGTGAAAAAACACTATGCCAAACTTTAGTATTAGTTTATATACACACAGTAAGAAACAAAACAATAACTGTTAGGTATTCCATGAATTTATTGCAAAAATAGTGCAAACTACTTAACCTAGTAAGCTGTAAAAACAAACTTGAAAGGACCCAGCTAAGCTTAAACACAATAGATGCTCAGTATCTCAGCGTTTAGCTTTCTTTACCAGTTTCTCATCCATCCAGACCACTCCCCACCTGCTCAGTCTGGGGTGAGGGCTGAGGAGTAAGGAAATGTGAAGACTGGCTCTTCAGAGGCCAGGCTCATTGGCTGCTTCAGTCAGCAGCACCTTTTAGCGTCATGCTACTCGCTCGATGATTTTGTGAGGTCTGCGCTGAAAAATTAGAATGCCATGATTTGTAATTTTGAGCTTAGAATAAGATATCCAACCTCTTGTGATATGGAGAAGGGAATCAAGAAAGCAGCATGAGCAGAAAGGATTAGGAACATTAATATCTGCTTATAAACATAGTATCCTTTTCCTCAGGTGTATTTGGGTAAAGTATTTTAAGGTAGGGCAACCTGTGAACCAGATATTGCAGTAAATTTAAAAGAAAATAAAGGATACTATTACCTCTACAAGAGTAATTTTATATTTTCTTTCAACAGTCTATTGGGGTCCAAAAAAGCATATCTCTAAACAAAATAATAGAAGCAAAACAAAATGCTACATGTCAAAGCTAAAGAAACAAAATGCAGCATATGCAGGTTCTTTTTCTTGAGGTACCTATATAAATTTAATTACCTGCCCCCAAGTACTCTTGTTAGGTTAAAACAAAATGCGTCCTGGCGAGCCAATCATAGGGCATTTATTATTACTGAGAAAGTGCAACAACGCTGATCTTTATATGCAGCATACTAAAGGATGATTTATTCTTTATAAAATATAGCTTAAGTATCAACCTGATGGAAGTTAAAAAATTAAAAACATTTAACTAGAATTTTTTTTTTTTTTTTTTTTTTTTTTTAGATACTGCAGCAAAAAGCCTCCCAAATCAACTTTCAAAGTTTTGCCACTAAGGAATGTTGGTTCTCTTGTAAAATTCAGAGATCTCCTTAAAATAGTAAAACTATATACTATAGGAAAGATCCCTATCTTTTTATTTTTATTGGTATAAAATCAAATTCTTAAGACTTCAAAATATTGTGTTACCTCCAAAGAATTAAGTTAAAAAAGATTGCCACAGTAGGAAAAGTCTAGAATTGTAAACTGCCAAATATAAAAGCATGGAAAGTTATCAATCTCCTGTCTTACTTTGTTACCCGTCAAAAACTTTTCTAACTTCTAGAAACCCTGGGGCTGCTGCAGAAGGCAGATGTCTCCACCCGCAGACATAGGCTCGCCCTTTCTCTGTCCATGGTCATTAAGCACCTCCACTGGGTAGGCCAGGAGAGATGAAACTGACAACAGTCCATCTGCTGCTTAGGAAAGAAATTCTTATAAAATAAGCCAGAGGAAGGGGGGCATGAATGGCTAAGATAGCAATGCTAAAAGTACTTGTAATGTTTTTCAGCCGCCCCTTCACTGGCACAGAAAATGAAGTGAGATATATATATATATATATATACACACACACACATACATACATATATATATGTATGTATGTACATATATGTGTGTATATGCATATGTATTTATATGCATAGAAGATTTGGAATTAATTATTGTCTGTAAAATATTAAATTTGCTCTTGGACATAATTTTTTTCCTTTCCACAGAGAGTAGTTAGGATTCCAATATTCTGCAGCAGTTGGTTGGGAATCTACCAAATTCCATGGCCAATTGGGCTCTTCTCCCCACCTGCAATAAAAAATGTGTAATTCTATACTGATTTTTAAAATGTGTTAAGGTTCAACATAAAAGGCACAAAATAAATAAAAATATTATTAAATAAACGGAAATTATGATTTCAAGTTTCATGTGGAGTTACATCTCACTGTTTGGTTACTTTTTCCAATTTAATTTGACAGACTTAGTAAATAGCACCCAACTGTTTAACTGAGGTAGATCCACATTGTAAAGAAAGCTGGGTCCCCTCCATCTTATCTCTAAATTGAAGATGCTTTTACAAAACAAAAATCCATTTTAATCATATGCAGAAGCAATGACAGGTGGCACTACCTGAAGAAAGCTTAGAACATGAGCAGGTTTGTGAGTAAGACCTACACCTAAATCATACTCTCCTGCTGGAGATAAACAAATCCCACATTGGAGGGGAAAATATCAAACATTTATTTAAAAATAACCCTGAAAATGTCTCTAGACTTTCGGAACAGGTCTTTCTGCCTGACTGCCATAGAAATGCACAATGGTATGTCCATTTTCATCAAGCAAGGGCAACAGCCAAGCCAGACCTGGAGGGGAGGTATGGGAGAGGAGGATTACCAGATGCTTCCCTTTTTAACTTCAGAGAAAAGACGTATTGAGTTATGACATACATCTTGATCTGCACAGTTTAAACTCATTCTGCCTAATATTTTTGCATACTCTGGAACTCACAATTTTAATATCAGATTAAGGCTTAAAGTGGCAGTACCACCTAGCATCATGCAAGCACTGGACATCTGCAAGACACACAGAATGGTATTAAACTAAAGACAATGACGTGAAGCCTCAGAATTAGAATTAGCAGGTACTATAACTTTATAATTAATTATACAATCCATGTAGGAAATGAAAAATTATACAGAGAGGCCAATGTATTTAAATAATAGTTTATACAGGAACTGTCAATTTACAAAACAGCACTGCATGGTTTCTATATTGCAAGCACAAGACACTGTCACACAGATCCACTGTACAGGTATAAACGAGTCCATGGACAAAACATAGAGTACCACCTGAAATGATGCCTTTTAGCTGCTCAACTTCTTAGAAAATAGTAAACTTTAAAGGGATATAATACATTTTGATTCAAAATGTCTTCTAAAATGTTTTGTGGGGGAAAATTAAGAAGGGGCAAGATCCACAATGGGACTTTTGAATTCATTTTTGGTTCTTTTTCAATTATTTTATAAAAATAAAATAAAACTAGAAAAATTGATAAAACTAAGGGTTAAAACCCCTCAATACATATTAGGTATCAGGCAAGTAATCTGAAGTATGCCAGAGGTAAGAAAGGTCTGGGTTTAGGTACTACATTCTCTTCTTGTATTTAATGAGTCATCAGCCACTTTGCTGCACAGAAACTTCAATTATTCTCTTAAAACTTTTTAAAAAATAAAAACTCACTTGCCTCTTCAGTTATAAAACATGAATTTTCATATCTTTAAGAACTACATTAAAATCCACTACCAAACTCAGGACTTACTTAAATTTCCATTTAATACTAAACTACATACTTTAGAATTTTAGTCACATATGTGTATTTGGCTTTGAAGGAGGAACCAAAACTGTTAATGAATTATCCCTCTGTAGCTAGTGACCCTCGGAGGGAAAGGCCTTTTCTATATGAATATTTAAAAATAAATATGCTGGACTTTTTCCCCCACTTTAAACCAACAAAAGCATCCCTTGATAGGGAAGGGTCATTTTTAATTAGACCATTGGCCAAAAAACTGCTCAACACCTGGCTTGAAAAAATTAAAGATAAAAACTGCATGTCAGGCATGTTGAAGCTGGAGTCCTATATGCACAGCTCAAGTGACACCACGCCTAAGTAAGCGGTTTTCCCAAGTCACAGAAAATCACAAAAGAGAACAATGAAAAGCATTCCAAAATAAGGACTGAATAGCACCTTACACCTGAGGACTTCACAAGCATTTCACAAAGACGTGATTCCAACTCCTTTTAAAGCAGTCTACTTCCATTAGAAGACATTCTGAGTGACCTAAGAGAACAAAACCAGTAGATTTTGCTGATGGTCATGGTCAATGCTTGACTAAGATATGGTCCTGCCCTAGTTTCCTGAAACCCCAGCAGAGATGCATGTGCTTATCAGAGCACAGGAGAAACCATGGAGGGATCTGGCAGCAGGTGCCCTGGCAGCTATAGTCTGCAGGGTGTTAGAGGCTGCAGTCAGGAGCTGAGGGCAGGAAGGAGCCATACGAGGCCAGTGACTGACTTGTGGAATGCTTCAGGCTCACTTCCACTAAAAATGCGCCCCAACACACTTCCCAAAGGACACTGAGGACCAGATTTGAAAGGCACAGAGTCTAGGACTGGGTCTCCACACATGCTCAGGTGGGTGTTGGTGGAGACCAGAGGAAGGCCTAGGGCCATCTAGTTCTTGGGATGGAGGGCTTTCCCTGTTCAGCCCTGATTGTTCCCACAATCTCCAGGGTTCCAAGGAGCACCCCCCACCCTGCCCTGCTCTGCCAAGCAGCCTGCGAGGTATCCCCTGGCAGGTGGGTGGTGTAGGTGTTCTTGGGATCAATTCACAGGTGTTAAGGACCATGAAGATTCAGAAAACCGGGTAAGGGTCTTGACATCTAGTCCCTGTTGACTCTTGGGAGTAAGAAGTTACTATTTGGTGTCTTAGCTTTAACTCAACTACCTAAATCCGAGGAGGCTTTAAATAGAAGATAATTCAGCCTCCTTCCACCCCTCTAAAAGGGGATGTGGTGATGCGAGGACTTAACACTGCAGTCACACCACCATGGGCAGTAAAAGACCCAAATATGTCTAAATATTCACTTTGACCAGTAATAAGTGAGCAAAAGCACCAGGAATCTCCAGTGCTATTTAAATGATCGTTCACAAATGTCAAGAGTGGGCAAGACCCACCCTCCATCCTGGAGATGTGAGTGCAGTCAGCTGTGGGCAGATCTCAGTGTGGGTTCCCATCACGGAACCAGTCCAGCTGCTTGCTGCACAGTGTCCTCTCAAATGCACTCACCGCATCTGGCTGAAACCCAAGGCCAATCCAGAGGACCCAAGCAGCCACTGAAGCAGGTCAGGGTCATCACTGACACCCACCCTCAATGTCCAGGCTCCCAGGATGGAGAACGGTGTGATGGCAGAATTCAAAACATTTCCAATAAGACTGTAAGACACTTAGCTCTTTTGGAATCAAAGCATACCATGTGGTGTGAACAGCAATAGAACCCAAACCACAGTGTTAAGGGCAATTCCTCCAGGGGACGATATATTAGAATCCTCAGGGCTAAAGTCAGTGTCTGATGGACATCCAAAGGAGGACAGAGCCACCTTCACACACCTAGCCACAACCATAACTGTGAACCTGTCCTGTCCCTCAAGAAGGAGGAGGTATTCGGAATAAATGCTGACCTTTCACAGATTAGAGAACATAAGGAAGCTACAGACAGAAGTGAAGGAAGCCAGAGGACACTGAGGGATCCACAGTGCAGTGTGAGGGAAAAAACGTTCCTGACAGCAATGTGGATAATCACAGGAGGGTTGGCCAGAGGCACCAGCTTTCCTAGGACAGACTTACTACAAGCCTCAGACCATCCCCAGAGCTGCTGGTGGCAACTTCTACTCCAACTGCAGACCCTGTGTTCTTTTCAAACAAAGGGTGCTGGATTGGAAAAGTGTTTTGCTTTCAAATCTTAGCTCATTTTAAAGTAGGGAGTGGCAGTAACTCAAGGGTCCCAAAGCCTTTGAAATCATGCAACTATTTTAAATGTATTATTTGCACAAGAATTGGTGTTGAAGCACCTTGGTGATTTTCTAGTGTATAAAAAGGGAAATGAGAGCCAGGAAACAATTTTCAACCCATTCAGAAGTAAGCAGGGGGAAAAAGTGCTTTCTTACATTAAACGGAATCAAAAGCAGGGATGCAGGCTATTTCAAGGCTCTGCCACACATGTGGTCCTGCACAGAGACGCTCTTGCCAGCCAAGGGATGGCACGCTGCCCGTGCAGAGAAGCTCTTGGTTCTATTCATGCTGGCCTCTCACAATGCTGGAATCTCAGCTGGACAGTACTGAGTCATCCCTGGTCCACTGACACAGCAGAGAAGGAGGGGGCTGCCCCCACGTCACAGTATGGCACACATTTTCAAGCCAGAACTGAACAGAGAGATGTTCACAATTCAGTTTATTCAGGCAACATTTTGGCTACTTTCAGTGTGGATAGCTACACTTATGAGCAAACATGAATCTATCTATTGAGAATTCAGAGGTAGCTTTTATCTGTGTTTGTTTAACAACAAGGTATTTAGAAACCACCTTCTGTAGTGATTTGGCTAAGCCAATACATTCACTTGAGACAATAAAATGGCAAAACATATGCAGAGAAGCGAAGTGAGGGACCACGATGGGACTGATGTGACATTCATACACAGAGCTCATGGCCCCTTCTATACCTGACACCACATTGCCTAACCAGTTACAATGGGGGCTAGAGCAGGTACTTCAAATCCAGCAGAATCATGGTGTAGGGGCTAGCACTAGGCTTCAGATCAGGTCTCTCTGGCATCTACAGGTACAGCTACAATGACAATTGACCTCATGGCTTTAAATTGACACTGGCCAAAGGGACATAAGGGAGACCACCCTATAGCCTATTTATATGGGTCATGCAGATGCTACCTATCTGCAATGTCAAAAGCTGGATGGGACTAAAGGGAAATGCTTTCAGGAGCAATGGCAAGTAAGAAGGGATTGAACAAGACCAAGAAGTCCAAAAGATTTACAAGTAATCCTCTTATATTCAAATCAAGGAAGAGCACAGTCTCTTTCAAACAGATGGAAAACTTACTGTCAGAAAAACAAGAAAATGAGTCTACTTTGTCCTTCATGAATGGTCCAGACACGAGGCTAAAGAGCAGAACAAAAGCAGGTCTGCACAACTCTAACATGTAATATTGAAATACATGGCGGTGTCACTGAAGCTAAGCAGCGTCCTGTATTCACATCATTCTGCTACTGTGAATCTATTTACAATCATTTAAGTACAGCAGATGCAAAGTTGGACATAATAAAACAAGTTGTCAAAAAATCAGTGCAATTATTTCGAGTTGAAAATTTTTCCTTACAAAAGTCAAGCATGCGTGTAACAGGGACATCCCATGACAGAGTCACACGTACACTGTGTCTACATCAAAACACATTACAGCAGCGAGACTGCTGGCATGACAGCTGGAGAGAATGTTCTGTTATTTTGGGGAAGGGCTTAAAATATAAATAAAATGTTTGCATTCTGCAAGTGAGGCGCATGAACACTGAGGAAGTATTTGTTTCTACTATTGTACATTCCTTTTCTCATGAGCGTGAGAGATGAGTCAAAAGAGGTCACAGAAAAGTTTCTTATGGCTTGTCTGGGCCACCAGGATTGTCCATTGTCTGGATTAGGTCAATGTCTAAAGCGCCTCCTAATGGAACTGCCTTAGGTACAGAAAAATGCCCATGAAAAAAATCCTTGTAATTGTCCAACAGATCAAAGCCGCGCTGATGGACTACATCCAGTTCCTGAAGGCTCCGCGACAAGCCAAGTGCTAAGTGACCATGAGCAACCAGGAGAGGCTGTCCCATCCCCGAAGCCTCCTGGAGACACTCTGGTGTCCCAGCTGTGTGAGGCGTGCTGGTCTATCCTTGACATATTATATCAAATATATAATTTGGCTGAAAAACTGCCTTGTAAAAATAAAATTTAAATCACCCTGCAGATCAATGTAAAAGCACATTGCTGCTGCATATATAAGAAAAACAATTCATCCAGAAAAATTACATTTGTGGCTTTCAAAAATAAATCATCCAGTAAACTTGAAGGTAAACATTAGGTCATTTATAAAAGTTGGGTAAAATAATTCCTACCATATCCATCAGGTACCACATGCACTGGAATATCCACGTCAGCCAAATCAAACCAGAGTGGAAAGGAGAAAATAAATAGCAACATTTGCATTTAACAATAAAAATAACACATAACAATAAAATGCAGGGACTGAAACTCTCTAGGGGCCATTCGGTAATGGGGGTGAACATTAGGAATAGCAGGCAGTGTTTAGGCCAGCTGAGAGGAGCTTGAAGCTCACTCCCCACCTGCAACAGTGTCCTTCTGGGGCAAGTCAGCACAACGGCCGGCAGCGGGGGCCTTTGGAAAGGGAGTGGGAGGCCACAGCCAGGGTCAACATGACCTCAGGAGACCAAGCGGACCCTAAAGTGGAGTATCAACAGTGTGTGTGCAGACTTCTTTCTCAGAACCAGAAAGCAAAGGCAAATCCAAAATATCCCTTTCTACAAGTACAAGTAACTCAGTTTTACAAAATTTATCTGAAAAAGGAAAATAAGCTTATGATATGCAAGTGACAGGAACTACTGTGGCTCCTGAGCTTGCACTTTTTGGTTCTCCCAGGGAGAACTGCTGAGTGTAAGTGGTAAAGGTATGAGAGCTCATTAATGTTTTTAAAAAGTGAGTATTGTCAAATATACCAGGAAGAGTCCCATTATGGAAATCTAATTGGGAGATCTCTTTTAAAGAGATAAACTCCAGCTTTCCTTTTAAACAAATCCAGATTTCTACATCATAATTTTCACATTCAGTTTGCTTAAAGCAAGGCACACCTTACTTAACAGCGGGGTGGGGACAAAGCCAGCAAGTGGGCAACTCTCAATCCTGAACAGGCAGCCCCTGTGGGAGGCCCAGCAGGAAGGAGCCACTGGGGAACACAAGCCACACGAGGAGGGGCAAATGCCCTTGTGGCTTCTGTGAACAGGGCTAGGATTTATCTTACTATACTCTGAGGTTCTGCACTGTCTTAAAACTTATGCTAATAATGGAGGCATTGGTAGAAATTTGGGAAAACAATTATTTACCTGAGAAACTGTAACTACAGCCATTTAAAGTGAATCATCAGATGGTGTACAAAGGTATGTAGCTAACTCAAGCGGAGACATTTGGTCTGTTAATGTTTTTAGTATTAAAAGATATAAAACAAGCATAGGGCTATAAAAAGTACCCTTCTTAAAGTACTTTGGCCCACTATAAAGAAAACGTATACTTCAAAATGGGGAAAAAAAAAATCCGTATAGGTCTAATTTTTTGTCAGCTTGCACTCTTCCTTAGGCCTTAGCTCACACAATGCCTCCTTGCTTTGCTGAGGTTCTCCTGCTGGCTCCTTGGCACCCCAGGGGGATATCCTCAGAAAGCCTCCAGAGCCACCCCAGAGCTGCAAGTGCTGGATTAAAATGCAGATGCCCAGAGGCCCAGGAATTTGCATTTGACAAGCCCTACAAAGACTGAGATCCTATTGGGGGTGGAGACACATGGTTCCAGATGGCTCTAAGAATGGTTGAAACTAACCTAATTTCAGATTCTAAAAATTGACTAGTCAGAAGAGTCCCCTCTTCAGCTTGAATGTGCTGGGTGAGCTAAGCTCAGTATATTTGTGCCCTTCTGGAAACAGGAGAAAGTGCCATTTGCCAAAAAGACAACAGGCAGCTGCAGTGCTTCTGAGAGTGGGGGAGGGGGGCGCTTCTGTCACTTAAAAAGAGTAGGAAAAAAGATACAGCAAGAAGAGACTAATGTAGTTAGACATTCACATGCACACACAGACACACACCCCACTCTGAGTACACATCTTCACAGATCACAGCTACCCCTTGTCACTATCGCCAGTCCAGGCCCAATGATGGGACCACCAGGCCAGGGACTCATGGGCCTCCCCACCACCTTAAAGGCAAATAAATGACAGAGACAGGTGGACTAAGGTGGGTGCCTATCTAGCCTTAGACACCACCATTGGGACCCTCACTCTATCGCAGTGCCAGAGGTAATGTCACGCAGGGATGGGGAAAGGACATCAGCAGGGAAAGAGGAAACCTATAGAGCACAAAGCAGCACAGGGGAAGGCTCTTTTCCTTCCTTGAACTTCTACATGGAACATGGATCTGATTCTTACTCAAATTGTATTCAAGGACCAAAAGCTCAGTCAGCACAAACAGCAATGTCTGCTGTTATCTTTTAACATTGTCCACGGTGTCACTCTTAGTGCAATGGTTTCTAGACTGGTAAACCCCATCTGGGGCCCCAAATGCAAATCCTAACCAAGTAGTCTCTGCCCTCTGTTGCTCGCTTGAGCCTCTCAGCCAGCAAAAGGTGACTGGCAGCTCTCTTGGTTTCAGTGCATAGATCCTATGAAGCTTGCCCACCAAAACCGCACACCGAGAGAAGTGCACTCCAACACAGGAACTTGTTTCCCAGCGATGGAAGAGTAAACTCCATTTGTGCTTCATCAGCTGAGTGATACATGGGACCAAGGTGGCAGGAGGGCGATGAGTGACTGGTGGGCACCCTGTCCCTCCTGGAGGTATAGGCTACAGAGTCCACACAGGGGGTAGGATCGCTGTCACATGAAGTCAGTTGCATACTCTGTACTTAAGCACTAAGAGCCACAAGAAGGGGCCCATCTCCAGGCTCCAAACACTCCTGATATGCGAAATAGGTCACATGAAGCACCCCGTAGTCAACAAAAGGAAAACAGCATCTATCTATCACATTAATACTGCAAACCAGATATATATATTTTTCTCTTACATTAAAGACATAACAGTGAAAAAGGATTGTACGGTATTTATCACCACAGACCCGTATTCTTTAGAAACTTTGGAAAATAAATGTCACAGTCCTATAGGACAAATCTTATGATTAGACTGTCGGTATATTGTCTTAACTTCTCTTTTAAATAAATTTTTGTTAAAATGGCACTTGTCTGCCAATCTCTGGACCTGTCACTGCTGTAAACACGTGGCCCACCTGCCACTGCTCCTTTGCTGAGGCCATGTGAGGCAGGCAGTGACGTGTAAGAGATGCCCGTGGCTGCCTCGCATGGCCAACCTGGCCTCGGGCCCGTGGAGCTTGTGCAGCCATGCCAGGGGCACACAGCATCACAGGAACCAACATCAGTGACAACATCAGAATGGTCAAGGCTTTAAAACCGCAATCATGTTTGGTGTTGCTTTCTCTCTCAGAGAACATTCACAGCTAGTTTGAGCCCATCAATTTCATAGAGAATCATGCATTAAAAACAAGTAAATTGAATGACCAAATAAATTAAAAATGTTTTAAAGCCCTGAGTTCATAGACTGGTTTTAGGAAATTTTTAGGAAACATGGGACTCTAATAAGCAGCTTATAGATTTTGGCAAACCATATTTCCTGCGACAGTGGGGTCTCATACAGGTCTGCAGTTCAAAATCCAAGTTTGAAATCTGGGACGGAAGGCATTCTGGAGAATGGAGAATCTAATAAAATCAATGACATCTCATGTTTGATGCTGGCTGTCACGGAAGGGCTGGGCATCTGTTGGTCTGAGTGTAGCTGGTCTCATGTGAATCCAACTTGGTGTGCACAATCGCTAAACACTAGAACATGTCAAGCAAAGTACATGGTGCGCAGTGTGTCCTGATGGACCTGGACCGCCTTGGCCAACGCTTGGTGGTCTCGCCCGTTGCTCTGCCCAGAGGTATGGCTTCCCTCAGCACTGCAGGGAGACAGGAGGGAAGGGGAGGAGAGAACACAGCCTTTGTTTGACATCTGAGTGAGGATGATGCCTCAGACACCTAGGCGTCCACAGCCACCATAAAAGCACCAGCACTCAGGGATGTAGGCTCCAGGCACTCTCACTTGGTAGAAGCAGCTGCGAAGCCTGTCAGAAACAACCCTGGCAGTGACTTCCAGCCAGGTGCAGCACTCACCTGTCATGTTCCTTATCCACTAGGTGGTACCTGGCTCGGAAGGCCACCAGGTGAGCGTAGTAGGCTGGCGCAGGAATGGACACAGAGCGTGTACAGCGCACATAGGTGTGACACAACTGGTAGGTTAGAATCTGCAGCTCATCGGAAGAGAAACGATTGTCATCCCAAAGGACATGGTAGTGAGAAGGCCTGCTCGTCCCCTAAAAACAGATCAGAGTAATGGATTGTCAGACTCACTGTAAAATCTGTACAAAGAATACTGTGGGAGAATATCTGATAATAAAAAGAGATGTCTGTATTATTAAAAACTTATTAGGACAATCTAGCTTGAAAGCCTGTTTATAAAGTAGACTGTACATACTGATTCACACACAGAAAAATCATAACAGACATAAAGCAATTATTAAAGGTGAGCATAAATCAAAATAGGTAGCAGAGAGGATACTAATTGTTCCAAATAAAAAGAAACGAAAAATGTCTGGGGTCATCATCACACACTGGACACACACATGTTAAATGTCACCCCATACTCCCTGGCCTGGCCTCTGAGCTGTGCATCCTCCACACGGGATGGAGACAGCATCACATCTCAGGAAGAGCAGTCCCTCCTGAGAGCCACTCTGCAGGTGGAAGGTAACCTGACAGAGTCCAACAGCTAGTGAGTGCCACACAGGATGGTATAATTATAGGAAGTGTGGGTGCATGCTGCGGAAATAAGAGCTTTTTTATCTTTTACTTTTCAACGTACAGACAAAACTGTAGGCAGGTCCGTCCAGAGAGGTCTCTTCCCTCTGCCCTGCTCCTCCCACTCTGTATGTTAACTACCTTAGCTTCTAGTTTCTTGTTTCATTTTGCTTTTAAAAAAAAAGACCTGGGCCAGGGATTTAGCTCAGCGGTTCGGTGGCCTGCCTTGCAAGCTCAAGGACCCGAGTTCAATCCCGGGAACCAAACCCCCAAACCCCAAAAAACCAAAGACTGACAAATATACACCTGTGAGATATATACATACAGATACATATAGATGATAAATATCTATAAAATGAGTAAAAAAAAAATCACACTACACACCCTTAACCCAAAAATATGTGCCTTATGCATTGATTAAAGCTGAAAAGGTCTGTTCGATTGTTCGTTCGTTGGTTCGTTCGTTGGTTCGTTTGTTTGTTTATTTATTTATTTATTTATTTATTTATTTATTTATTTTTTATTTATTTTTTATTTATTTATTGATTGATTGATTGATTGATTGAGACAGGGTCTGGCTATGTAGTAGTTCAGGCTGACCTTGAGCTCACTATGTAGTCCTGGCTGGCCTCAAACTCACGGCAATCTTCCTGCCTCAGACTCCCAAGTGCTGGGATTACAGGTAAGCACCAGGACACCCAGTAAAAGGGTATTTTTAAAAATTGACAATTGAGGACAGTGTCTTCTGGGTGGATTAGGCACACTGTAATGTTTTATTTATAACAGCAAAAAAACTCCAATAAAAGGTATATACTGAAAAAAACTTTTTTTTTTTTTTTTTTTTTTTTTTTTTTTTTTTTTTTTTTTT